TCTTACCACTTCTTTAGAGGTTCAAATAAGAAGAGAGGAGTCTTTGACTTAAAGTGTAAGCTAAAGGGCGATAATTGTTTACTTTAGTGAGAAATTTAAAAATAATACAGCAGTTAACTAGATACATACAAATATGTTTAATATCAAAAGTACCTCCTATCTTTGTTAGTACCTCCTATCTAGAGCTGCATAGATCTTTTAGAGCACCTTCTAAAATTATTTTTTAAATGATGCCTTTTTCTTTTTGAAAAGATCTTATCATTAAAAACATAAAACAACAACAAAAAAAAAAAAACACAAGGAAAGTGTCTTGATTATTTTTTATTTTATTTTTTATCCTCACCTGAGGATATTTTTTGTATTTATCTTCAGATAGATCAGGAGGGAGAAAGGGAGGAAGGGAGAGAGAGAAACATCCACATGAGAGAGACACATCGACTGGTTGCCACCCACATAACCGCAACCGGAGCTGGGGACAAACTGCAACTGAAGTACATGCCCTTACGGGAACCGAACCCGGGACTCTCTGGTCCATGGGCCAACATTCTAACCGCTGAGCCAAAACAGCCAGGGCTCTTGATTATTTTGTAAATAATTTATAGTTTATGGTTATATTTATTTTGTGGTATTACATTCTTGAATTAGTAAGAGATTACTCTTTGTTACTATAATATAAAGCACCAAAAAGTGATATTTTACTTTTAAAACCATTTCTGTATAGAACACTTTCTATGTTTTCTAAAAATGATTAAATGATACACAGATTTTAATTTAAAAACCAAGTGATGCACAAAGAAAAAAACACCAAATTTTTATTTGAAATTTATGTGTAAATTTTTGCTTATGTCTTGTGTATGAATAAATAAACACAGTTTCTTCCCTCTCTTCTTTGAAGTTACATGTTTACAGATACACAGTAGTGACTGAGATGACTTTGTGTAACTGTTTTCCCTAACCAATAGAAACAAACTCTGGATTGGTCTTTATTTTGAATTACAGGTTAAGTTTTCCTCCAAATAAGTATGAGTATTTGACAGTTGTTTTTACAAAGCTTTGGATATATCAATGATGACATTTTTTTTATCAATTTAGGGTAAGTTCTTCTTGTAAGCATGTCTAAGTTGTCAAATCTTCATACCATTACTGCTAATGAAATAATACAGTTAAGCCAAAATAGTACCTGTCTAGCTTATAAAGCATTCATTATAAAAGCTAACTATCATGGTTTACAAGTAACTATGTAGATTTTTATTTTGAGGAATTTTGGAATTCTTCATTTGTTTACTCATAATATGTGAAGTAGTAAAAAAAAAAAAAGTTTGGTTGTGAGCTTTACCACTTACTAAGACTCAGTTTCCTAATTTTTGAGGAAAAGAAGTATAACTTTTCTCAGAGGGTTTTTTTGTTGTATAGAACAAATATGATATTTTATATACAGCTACTTAATAAGCTGTGGAAGGCTCCTGGCATAATAGAATGAACAGGGGTTACAGTCTGAGCGCTGGAATCTGTTTAAAGTTCTTGGAGGCTAGAGCAACACACCCTGTAAAGACTTGGAAGTGAAGAAAATTCTTTGCCCTCTGAGAATTATTTTGTCTGTACACAAAATGAATCATGGCCAAGATCTGTAAAGTCACTGATAAAGCCTATAGCTGTTCAGTTTATTAGCATAGCTGAAGAAAGTGTGCCCCTCTGAAGTTGCTGAAGTGGCCTTGTGCTGTGGAAGCCCGAAGAAGGTCTGAGACAAGGACCTGAAGAAAGGAAATTTAATTCATAAAAGTGAATAATCTGGTTCTGTCGTTGAGGGGTGCCTGTGGTGAGGAGGATATTTCAGACCATTAAAGTATCCTACTTATCAAGCTCCCCTGGTTTTGGTTCTTTTCTCCAAGCACCATTCTAACAAGGAATATAGTTAACTATATCATATTTTTGGTCATTGTACTTTTTTACTGTAAAATAGTAATTAGCTACTCTTATAGGTCATATGTACATAGTGTATTTAGTCTGTTAGGGCTGCCTTAACAAAATACCACCGTCTGGTTGGCTTAATCAGCAGACATTGATTTCTCACCGTTCTAGAGGCTTGATCCAGATGCCGACAAACTCAGTTCTGGTGCAGGCTCCCTTCCCTGCATGCAGCCTCCTGCTTTCTCAGATGTGCACTCAGAGAGAGTGAGTGAGCTCTCTGGTGTCTTTACAGGGGTACTAATCCTCTGGGATCAGAGCTCCACCCTATGGCCACATTTCATCTTAATTATTTCCTTGGAGGCCCCATCCAGGTACAGCCACACTGAGGGGCAGAGCCTCAACATGTGAAAATTGGAGGCACAAACATTCAGTCTATAACACTTGGTTACCATGTATCTCCACTTAAGAGGTTGGGGGGACTTGTATTGCTGCAAGCGTATTATGGTGGCAGACTCACTAAGCATGTTATTCTTTGCATTTGGGGAGGTATTCTGCATCCCTTGTGGCATACTTGGACATTGTATGGTTGATGCCAGCACGTTAAAATATTTCTGTTGTTTTAGTCCTGAACGCTGGCACATCTAGCTCTGTGCAACTGAGTCACTTTCTCTGTAATATGGCAATGATAATCGCTCCACAGAGCAGTTATTGGTTGTGATTCTTTGAGGGAAAATATATTGAAAACCATAGAGTAAGATGCAGAGAATAGTTATTTTTGTAAAGATGTACAGTGTTATTTTATTATTATTTGCAAAGCTGAAGGAGTTGAACCCAGATTTTCTAATTCCAAATTTAGGACTTTGTCAGTGGCTAAACATGCCCATTTTATCTATGTTTCTATATGGACAAGTACTCTGGAGAAAGTCTCAGCAAGTTTTATTTGCACCATCTTGTGCAGAAAAACCCAAAATGCTGTGCTTTGTTTTGTGAATTACATTTAAACTTTGTTTTAGTTGGTGCCCCCCACAAAAGATTTTGCTTAGTGATATGTCTAGAGCTTACAGAAGAATAACTCAAGACTGGAAAAATACATCTCTTAGCCCAACAACTTTATATATTACATATTGAGAAGCATGTAAAATGTTAAGGAAACATCCATATTGGCTTACCAGCTGTTCATTTTGTGGAGAATTAAATTAGTCTCTAAGGCTGGATGGAGGTGGGGGAGGAGAAGAATTTCGGATTATTACAGGAGTGGGAGGATTTATTTACACTACCTCAGGGATAACAAGGGGGTAAGAGGTAGGGAAAGGGGGAAGGGGAGAGTTTATATAAAGAATTCTATGCAGTTGCTAATTGTGTTCTGTAGGAATGCTGATGCTGCCTCTTTTTCCTCCTCTAAATTTGCTGGCACCTTTAGCTTTTTGGTTTTACAAAGGCATAGTAGTTCCCTCAGGCTTGGCGTATTTGCTCAGACTGACTATGGCTTTATGGTATCTATCTTAGGTAGGAAATATTTAAGTGCTTTTTCTTCAGTCCTACGGAGTTTTAGTCTGATACCTTACAAAAGAGAATTGAGTTCCCATTTGAAGAAAAGATTGACTGACAGTGTTCTGTGTTGTGAAGCCATGTCTCAGGGTGTCTTCCCCGGTAGCCACAGCTTTGGCCAGGCCAGGAGCCATGGAGAAGAGGGGAGGAGAGACCCGTGTTCCTCTGAGTCCGGTCCGGACTGTACATATATGTAGGTTAAAATTAAAGGGACTTAATTAACTTGTACATTTGAAATAGTGAGGCTTTGGGTCTTGAACAATCCATGCTTTTTATCTTTTTGAAAAATTGTTTAATGATAGTTCAGTGTTGGTACTCTTGTGTAAATTTGAGTAATACATAGATTGCATTAGTATAAGGAAACATCTTTAATAATTTTATTTGATATATGTCTAGAGCTTTGTATTTTGCTTTTGTTAAGTTTGTAAAATTTAAACTATGTAAAATTATGGCAGTATTGGAGCCTTCATTGAGGTTCACAGTAATGTGAATTAATATGTACACAACCCTCTGTTTTGTATTCACCTTTTCTTTTAATATATAATGGAAATATTTAGGTATAAATGAGTTAAGATCAAGACAATGTCATATAATCTTAATTCATCTAACAGTTGCCTCTTGTTGCCCATTTATTTCATTTTTAAAGTAATTTACAAATGGAAAAAGCCTTGGCATTAAACTTCATTTCTTAGAACTCAGGAAATTCCTAAGTTATACTTCCTCTAGCAGCCACAGTTCAATATTATTTCTATGAGTGTAGTAATTTTCAATTTTCCTGTTATATATACCTTTCAGATGCTATATAAGCCAAGGTAAACAAGTTAATGTTAAGAGTAGGAGTATAAACTTTGGAATTTCCTGACTTTTAACATTTTAACTTTTTACTTCGTTTTGGCATGCTGGATCATGCAATTTAATTCATATAGTTAGTATAGATATATTCGAACAGGTAGTGGTTATTTTCAGCCATCACACTGTGAATAGCTTTTAAAAAAAGATTAATTTGCATCCTAGATAATGAAGTACTTGGTGTTTGCCCTTCACTTTTGGTAGCTTTCAGTTTCCACCTCTCTAGCTATGATCAGAAGTCATTCCAAAAGTTATAGTTGGTTCTTTGTTTTCAGTAGAGGAGTTATAGTTTCATAAATCATTCACCTTCTATAGATATATTTGTACAAATAGAAATAGAATTGCATGTTCTAACTAAAGGAGCCAGAGCACTGGGTATTAATATCCTTGTTGAAACATTTTTGAACTATCCCCCTTTCCCCTGGAATGTGAACAATCAGCAATTAATATCAGTGATAGAGATTCCTTCATTATTTCATTCACCAGACGTCTACTGAAAGCATTCCATGGGCCAGGCATCTCTAGGTATTGGGGATATGGTAGTAATTAAAGGCAAGTCCCTATCTTAGATATTTCATTCTGTAGGTGGAGAAAGAACATAAAGAAGAAAAACTAAATAGAGTATGGAGATGATCAGTAATAATGGGGTACTCTCTTAAATGGGGTGGTCAGGGAAGGCTTTTCTCTCTGATAAGGTAATCTCTAACTGGAGACCTGAAAGAAGTATGCACGTCTTGAGGAAGAATGGTCTGTAAGAAGAAACAGCAAATGCAAAGGCCCTAAGAAGGAAGGATGCTTACTGTATTTCCAGAATAGTGAGGAGGCTACTGTGGCCTCAAGAGTCAACTCTGTGGTGAGGAGGATGGGCGTTTCAGTTGATAAGGTGAGAGTAATGATGGTGGGAGAAGATGGAATCCTGTAGAGCCTTATGGGCCCTGGTAAAAATTCTCAGTGGGTAATTTTGAGCAGAAGAGATGCATGATCTGAATTATAATCTACAAGGATTACTTTGGCTACTGTACCGAGAATAGATTGCAGGAGATCAATGGCAGAAGCAGAATAACCAATTAACAGATTAGTGTAGTAATTCAGTCAAAAGATGATAGAGGTTTAGAGCAGAATGACAGTGGTAGAGGTGGTGAAAGGTTATTCTGGAAGGTAAAGAAGGTGGGATTTGTTGATTGGATATAAAGTGCGAGAAATAGTGAGTCATTAAGGATGACTCTGGAGTTTACCTGTATAACTTACATGCTCTCAATTGCCTATTGATTGCTATGTTCACAGAAACCCTTGACTAACCATTCTGGTCACTGTTGAAATAGTAGCCACTCTGACTTAGTGTTTATTAAAGCTAACAATCTTTCCTTAAGTCTGTTGATGTGTCCCATTTTAACTTCTCTATAAAGAAATGGTCAAATTATAAATGTTTACTAAAGGTTTAAAATTATTTTAAATGATTTTAAATTGAATAACTTCTGTCTTTTAAATAATTGTACTTTATGGGAGCTATGATAAAATATAGCCTGCTGATTAGAAGAAATGAAGAATTAGTTTGCTGGGAAGCAAGTCACTTGCTCATTTTGCCTTCCCATAGCTGTTTCTTTCACTTTCCTCGGGCCTCTCCTTAAATGTCGGAAAGGGCTTCTCTCACCACCCCATTAAAACACTTCCACATTACGTTGTATCTCCTTACCTTGTTTTTTTCCATTGAATTTATCATCACCTGACATATGTTTGCCTCTTATTTTTCTGTCCATGCCACCACCCCAATGAAATATGAACCCTGAAAGGGCAGTGACATCGTTTTCCCTGCTGTAGTCCCCAGGTCTAGAATAGTACTTAACATGCAGTAGTTACTCAGTAAATAACTATACATGAATAGGATGAATGAATACCTTTAAGTAGATGTCATTATGTGAAAATGCAGCAGAGTACATGGCATAGAATGGGTGTTTATTAAATGGTAGCATGAAAAGAAAATTGGTCATCCTTGTGCATTGTTGGTGGGAATGTAGCACAGTGCAGTTACCGTGGAAAATAGTATTGTGATTCCTTAAAAATTAAACAGAATTTCTGTATGATTCATCAGTTCCACTCTGTGTATGTGCTCAGAAAAAGTGAAAGCAGGGACTCAGATATTTGGATACCCATGTTCATAACAGCATTATTCACAATAACCAGAAGGTAGAAGCAACCCAAGTGTTTATTGATAGATAATTGGATAAAAATATAATATACACACACAATGGGATATTATTCAGCCTTAAAAAGGAATGAAATTCTGGCATTCTACAATGTGGACAAACCTTGAAGTCGTTATGCTAGCCACGAAAGGGAGAATATTGTATGATTGCACTTTCGTGAGGTGCCTAGAGTAGTCAAACTGTTAGAGACAGAAAGCAGAATGGTGGTTGCCTGGGGCTGGGGGGAATAGGGTTTGTTGTTTAATGGATACAGAATTTTAGTTGGGGAAGATGAAAAAGTTATGCACCATAATGTGAATGTACTTAGTGCTACAGAACTGTACGCTTAAAAATGGTTAAAATAGTGAATTTTATGTTACGTATATTTTACAACAATAATAATAATTAAAAAAACAAAAACAGAAAAAAATGGACCTGAAAGCAGGCTGTTCTGAATTTGAGTCTCACCTTGACCTTGTCAGCTTTCTAAACTTTTTGACAGTTCTACTTTAGGCTTTAACAAATAGAACCTTAAGTAATTAACCTAACATTCACTGAATTGAGAGCTTGAGTATTATTCTGAGGCCTTTATGAGGACATTTTGTATTTCCTAATTTGTAGGTTCTTATTAAGCTCAATTTAAAAAAAATATGTTTTTATTGAATTTTTAGAGAGAGAGATAGAAAAGAAACATTGATGAGAGAGAAACACTGATTGGCTGCCTCCTGCATGTCCCCTCCTGGGGATCAAGACTGCAACCTGGTCATGTGCCCTGACTGGAAATCGAACCCAGTGCATGAGTCAACATTCAACCAACTGAACCACACCAGCCAGGGCTAAGCTATTTATTTTTACTATTGTTTTCAGTATCTTTCTGGATCCATTCAGGAGACAGAAACCACAAAGTAATTTAAACAGGGGAAGTTTAATATAAAGAAATATTAAACTGCACCCTGGCCGGTTTGGCTCAGCGGTTAGAGCATTGGCCTGCGGTCCAGAGAGACCCGGGTTCGGTTTCCGCTAGGGGCGCATACCTCAGTTGCAGTTTGTCCCCGGCCCTGGTTGGGTCGTGTGGGTGGTGGCCACTCGATGTGTCCCTTTCATGTCGATGTTTCTCTCTCTCTCTCTCTCTCTCTCTCTGTCTTTCTCCCACTCTATCTGAACAAAATATTTAAAAATGTCCTTGGGTGAGGATTAAAAAAAAAATCTTTTTTTAAAGAAATATTAAACTGCAAAAGGTGAGTAACTATAAAAATGTAAAGAGAACTATAACAGATACCCTCTAGCTGAAGGAGAGTATTTAAGGAAGGAACAACTTAGAAAAGAGGACCCCTCCCCAAAGTCAGAGATCAGACCTCTTTGGAGAAGATGTGATTGTAGCCTACTGGAGAGTGGAGAAATTTGCTTGGTTGGTGGGGTCAGAGTTGGTCCACAATTGCTGGGCAAGCAGGAAGCAACCCTTTGGGTCATAGTCAAGCTGGTGCTGGTGCTTGTACATGCAAAAGTAGTCAGAGTGCCACTGACTGGCCGCATAAGGCCTAGAGACACAGTGTCTGTCTTGAAAGGGCCACAGCAAGGCGATTTGGGATCCTGTGGATAAAGAATCCTAATAGAGGTGGAGAACCTGAGAGAGGTTGGTGGTAGTGGAAAATAATTAGAAAGAAGCTGGACATATGGAATGGGATATGAGAAAGGAAAGAAAAACTTAAGAGAGCTTCATTTTTTTTTTTTAATGTTTTTTCTTTATTGATGTTTAGAGAGAGGAACGGAGAGAGAGATAGAAACATCGATGTAAGAGAACATTGACTGGCTACCTCCTGCATGCCCCCCATTGGGGATTGGGCCCACAACCTGGGCATGTGCACTGACCGGGAATTGAACCTGGGACTTCTTGGTGCCTGGGCCGATGCTCAACCAGTGAGCCACACCAGCCTGGTGAGAGCTTCATTTTTATCCTCTAATTCTCATAAATTTAAAATATATGCCAAGTACTGTACATGCTATTTCCACTAATATCTTCCCATCCTCATTGCTTTAGCTTAGGCTTTCATCATCTCCATCCCATAAGAGTGCATTATTCTCCTAATTTATCATCCTGCCTTCAGAATCTTCCTCTTCCAATCTAGTGTCGGTTTTCTAAAATAAAGATCTGACAAGACATTTAGCTGTTAAAATTCTGTAGTGACCTCTCACTAATGAGCGCCTCCAAACTCCTATAGTGGTGTATGAGGTCCTGTAGATTGGACCTCTGCCCTTTACCAGTCACCCTAGATACCTTTTATAATGAATTTTTCAAAAAACTTTAAACATCATTTTACTCTTCTATGCATATTTCATCCCCTCTATAGTCCCTTACTCAGCTTGCCATCCGGAAAATATCTACTCATCCTTTAAAACTTAAATGCCACTTAATCTTTTCTTTTGCCCAAGTTTTCTCAGTGCTAGGTGACCATTTTCCTTTGACACACTTCTTTTGTTTACATATGTCTCATCCCATAGTGGAAGTGAGTTTTTGTTGTTGTTTATACCTTATGTCTTAGTTCATTCAGGCTACTAAAATAAACTACTACAGTCTAGGTGGCTTCTAAATAGTGGACATTTATTACTTACAGTTCTGGAAGGTGCAAGTCTGAGATCAGGGTGCCAGAATGGTTGGTGAGTGACCTCTTCTGAGTCTCAGACTTCTCATTGCACCTTCATGTGGTGAAAACAGACCTTCTTATTGTAACCTCACTTGGTCAAAGTGGATAGGGATCTCCCTGGAGCCTCTTTTATAGGACATTAATCCCACTCAGGAGTGCTCCATCCTTATGATGTAAGCACTTCTGAAAGGCCTCATCTATCAAATTTGGGGGTTAGGATTTTAACATAAGAATTTGGGGGTTAGGAACACAAACATTCAGGCCATAGCATCCTTGTCATCTTTCTACCCTTGGATTTGATGTACTACACAGCACATAGTGGGTGTTAGGTGTTTATTAGATGAATGAACAAACTGTGTCAGTTTACACTGGATTTTTTTTTTTTTTTTACTCAAATAATATGCACCTGCCATAACTTAAAAAACAGAGTTCAGAGTGATACACACTATAATTGGGAATTACTGTTGTTGTTGTTTTTAAATTTATACTTATAAAAGAAATAATTTCTATAATTCTTTCATTTTCCTAATGCTTAAGTTCAAGGATGGGCAAAAGTATATTTGCAGTTGTTGTATGGAAAAATATATCATACAAGAATAAACTCTGTATTTCACATACAACTGTAAATCTACTTTTGCTCACTCCTGTATAATACATATCTTTTATTCTTAGGAGCTTTATAACCTAGTAAAGAAGATTAAATATAGATAAAGCCATGAATGTATGATTAACGTTAAAGTATTAAGACAATATGTATTGTAGGAGTTAAAGAATTGTAAAACCAAAAGAGATTTTAATCTAATTTAGCATCTCATTTTAGTGATGAGGAAACAGAAAATTGTTACCTCAAAAATCTGCCCAAAGTCACACTAGTGGATAATGCCAGAAACAGAGTTAGAACCCAGGTTTTCTGACTTTAGCCTAGGACTTTCTATTTGTAAGCACCTTTGAGCATGTGTGGAGTGGGCTTGATTCAAGACATGGAAGAAGTGAGATGTTGAAGAGTATGGAAAGATGGGGAGAAGAACTGGTCTTCCATGATGGAGAGAATTTTGAAAGCTTTGGGAAAAACAAAGGGAAGGACCTAAGGAGAGTAGAAAACACGTAGTAGAAACTGTTACTAACCTGGGGTTGGATTAAGGAGATC